TTAGTAGAAATAACTGGAAAATTAAAACATTCAGTTGACTTTTCGGTCACTTTCAACTTGTCAGCAAAAAATTTTTTAAAATCATCGGCGCTATGCATTGAACCAACTTCATTTTCAACACTTGTCTCTTTTCCTAATAATTTATTAATCGTTTGCTATAAGTATTTGGAATTATTTTTAATTGACATGTTTTCGCGAACCAAAAATCTCCTTCGTTTCACTGAGTAACAAACATTCTTTTGTTTCATTGCCAGTACCCAATCAACTTTATCATTATAACAACCAGTAGTTCTGAACCTTTTTTCTTTTTTCGACACATTTACTTAGCCTTTTTGCAGTCACTGTCAAACCATGGGGCAGTCGGGACATGTTTCCATCGAACTTCATGAAGTGGAGCAACATCGTCAGCAATTTTTAAAAGCTCTTCATTGAATATTTTAAAACCCAATTCGACATCATCATCCTGACCATAATGTTTCGAGATAGGTGAGCACCTCAAAAGCTCAGTCAGACGTTTTTTATCCACTCGCTTCCAGGATCTGATCCACGATTTCTTGAAAATGACTGGAGTCGGATTGATTAAAAATTGACCGGTTACTAAACTATGATCTGAATAGATACCAGATAGGTACACCAATATATCTTCTAACAAAAAACCATCCGATGTGACAATCAAATCCAGGGTACCACCAAGCACATGGGTAGACTGATTAATTCTATTGACAAGATCAAAACTAGAGAAAATATCAGCAAGGGCTGTTGCATATATATCTGACGAAGTTTCTATGTGTATGTTGAAGTCACCTGCAACTGCAACATAAAAGAGTGATTATTTGTAAAACTAAAATTAATTCTTCAAAAAATAATTTAGCAGGAGGAGCAGAACCTGGCCTATAAATCACCAAAAAAATTACTGAAGTTTTCCGTAACGTCAATTTAAAACATATCGCTTCAAATGTAATTATCACTGGCAATGGAATTTTTACACATTTTTAAAGTGGTTTCTGAAATACGTTACCAAACCACCATGCCCAGGATCATTTAGCCTAACTTGTTCCAAAAAACTAAAATCACGTGGTTTTGCCAAACTAAGACAAATATTATCAGATGATTTATGCCAAGTTTCTGTAAGCATCAAAACATCCAAGCCATCATTGAGCAGCCCATGAACATCATCAACATTTGGACCCAAAGATCTAATGTTTAACAGACCCACCTTAATTTTATTGACATTACCAGAAGAGTTGAAAACCATAGATGCACAATCAGAGCTAGTAGGCTTTAGTTTTTTATTAGATATTTCTGTATTTTTATTATTCTCAAATTTGACGGATCTCCCCTCACCCTGTACAAAAATTCCCCCGACTCCTGTTTCTGTTTATCTTTTGCTTCAGCTACCAGTTTTTTACATTTCTCACGCTGTTCTTTAGTGAAGTCATGGCTTATGCTGACATTTTTTAATTCATCACTCAATTGTTTCATCCTCACACGATTTTCCATTATCATGTTTTTCATAGACTTTTCTTTAAACTCGATCAACATCGGACGTGGGTTGTCACCTTTTTTGCCAATTCTGTACATTTTCTTAATATCACTTTCCTTGATTTCATCATTTGTAATGACTGAAAGCAAATTCATAACAATTTTTTTATCATCATTGCTAGCATCAGCAGAGTTAGTTTCAGCTTCACTGAGCCTAAATAACACAACATTGCACTCACGGTTTATTGTTTCGACGTTGTTTTTAATTGATTTGACGATATTGTTCAGAGCCACGTAGTCGATTTAACTTCTTTGATGGTTCCCTTTACAACTTCAGTCCAATTCTTTTTCAAACCCCCTTCTACATCTTTAATCTGCGTGTATATATATATATATATATATATATATATTATATATATATATATATATTATATATATATATACTGTTTCTTTTATATACATCCGACGTACTAGAAATAATAGATAAATCTGGGGTGTTTTGTCATGCCTACGCAGATGACATACAGATGATTGTCAGCTGTCCTGCCGATAAATTTAAAGATGCTGTTGTTACTAAATTAGTTCATTGTTTGACTGAGGTGAGTGTGTGGATGTTATCAAATCGACTGAAACTCAACCAGGGTAAAACTAAACTGATGAAAGTAGGCACATGGCAGCAGCTGTCGCGAGTCAAGATTGATTTTGTTACTCTAGATGGACATAATATCGAGTGTAGCAGTAATGCCACTAATCTGGGAATGATCGTTGACTCAAAATTGACGTTTGTTGATCACATCAAACTACTAACTAAATTGTGCGCTGCTCAACTACATAAAATACGTTCTATAAGAAAATCCTTGAACAAAAGCACGATTGAAGGTTTAATGCATGCGTTCATTCACTCTCGGTTGGACTACTGCAACAGTATGTATTATGGTTTACTCGATAAATCTATTAGAATGTTACAGTCTATTCAAAACCGTGCAGCAAAAATTGTTCATGGTGCGTATAAATTTGATCATGTATCTCCGATTCTTGCTCAGCTTCATTGGTTGACTGTCGACAAGCGAATAATTTTCAAAGTTTGCACAATAGTGTTCAAGAGTGTGAATAATTCCGCACCAGAGTATTTGAAGAACAAATGTCAGTCGAAAGCATCATCTTCCCTCGGCCTGCGTTCGGACGATTTAAACTATCTGTCGGTGCCGTTGGCTCAAATGAAACTTGGAGCTGGAAGCTTTGCCGTGTTTGGTCCTAGAGTCTGGAACGGTCTTCCAAAAGACCTACGAGACCCTGCTCTGGGTATTGCGATATTTAAGAAGATGTTGAAAACATATTTATTTTCGCAGTAGTGTCAATCATTGATGTTCATTTTTTTACTGATCTAATTTTTATTTAATGTTTGATTTATTTGACTATTTTGTATGTTATTTTATTTGTAAGCGCTTTTGAAAAACTTTTTAATTAGCGCCATATAAATATTCGTATATATATATATATATATATATATATATATATATATATATATATATATATATATGTGTGTGTGTGTGTGTGTGCGAGTGTGTGTAATTACGTCATAATTGACCATATAAATATGACGATGTTAATATTAAGACCGATTTACTAAAAATTAAAAGCTCAGTCAACGACGTATCGGGAGAAGACCTTCATCACGAGACACCTTAAATATATTAGCCCTCAATAAAACTTTATCATTTACACAAAATCTAGTTTTCCTTTTACTTATCGATCACCCCACTAACTCACTAAATCATTAACTAATCCATTAATAAATTACTTTATTAATTTGCCTTTTTATATCATTACTTTATTTTATTTTCAATACTTTCAACGTTTAAACATTTTTTTCTCCGTTATTTGTTTATTCATTTACTTCTTTCGTCACCATTTTATACTACTGCCTTGTATGCTGTAAGAGTTTCTGCGTCTGTCAGATCCCGATTTTTTTAAAGAATAATAAATAAAAGCGTAGAAGGAACATTATACAAATAGCTACATTGTACAGCATGGAAAGCATGGAAAATAAAACATTGATTTAAAAAACAAATAATTAGATTAATTAATCGACTAGTCAATGACTTAGTAGTTTGTGCGATCGCTAAAGAAAGATAATGGACAAAATTGAACAAATGACAAAAATTTGTTCAGTGTTTATATATTTTAGGTGTCTTGTAGCAAAATTCTTATCCAAATAAGCTAAATGAGTGACGATTTCATAGTTATGTTTACGTTGGCGAAGGTTGTGTAGTAATTTCGGTCGGTGGTTGGCGCGTTTGTTGTAAGATTCTACTTTCTTGAACAGTCTTGAATTGGAAATCTGAATGATGGATTTTATGATAGTATATGCGATGCTAGAATCAATCAATTAATCAGTCAGTCAGTCAGTCAGTCAGAATTAATCAGTCAGTCAGAATTAATCAGTCAGTCAGTCAGTCAGTCAGTCAGTCAGTCAGTCAGTCAGTCAGTCAGTCAGTCAGTCAGTCAGTCAGTCAGTCAGTCAGTCAGTCAGTCAGTCAGTCAGTCAGTCAGTCAGTCAGTCAGTCAGTCAGTCAGTCAGTCAGTCAGTCAGTCAGTCAGTCAGTCAGTCAGTCAGTCAGTCAGTCAGTCAGTCAGTCAGTCAGTCAGTCAGTCAGTCAGTCAGTCAGTCAGTCAGTCAGTCAGTCAGTTAATCTTCGTTTATAGCCTCCATCCGTAATGGGTCTGACTTTTTTATTCCATTCATCAGCTTCTGTCTCCAAGTCGATCTATTCATTGCGTCTGTCTCCTTGAGACCAAGTGCCTTCAAGTTCTTCTGTATGGTCTGCGTCCAGAACTTTTTTGGGCGACTTTCTTGGGCGGGTGCCAGACACATGGTGCTCAGTAACGGAAATTATTGTATCGTTTTCGCTTCGCTTCACATGGCCAAACCATCGTTGGCGATGACGACGACATGTATCTTTCAACGTGCACAGTCCCGATCGGTTGAGGATCTCGGTCATATGGACGCGGAGTCCCTAAGGTCAACATGCTGCATCCAACGAATCATTTTCAAACATGTGTGAACATTCATGGTTATTATTTATTATTAGGGCAGCGCGATGGTGTAATGGTCAAGGTGCCCAGATAATTTAGAATATGAAGACCATGCAGTAATTTATGAAATCTACCTAATTTCTATCGTTGGATTGTTTTTGATTACATTTCTCAATATTTCTCACCAAATTCTTCTCGTCATTATTCATTTGATTAAAATTTGAATATAGTTCTTCAATTCATTCTCGAATGTATAGGACCTATTTCGATTTTGCAAACATCTTCAGCACTTGTTTGCGTAACCAAGGTCTTTGTTCTTTTAACTGGCATTTGCTAAACAAACGCTAGATAACTACTTTCAAAAATATGTTTTGAAAGTAGTTAGTTCACAACTATTAGTTAAAGTACTTATTTTTAGTTGCAAAATAGTTATAGATTAACTAAAAATATTTAGTTAGTGCCCATCACTGTATTTCACTCAATTACATATGTAAGAATTTATTTCAGTGAAATCTATGTTAGACGGAATTGCCTAAAATTTTAAATGATTCCTTATATAGAATTTCACAGAATTTCTAATTTGACACTTTATTATAAACGTTTCAAAGCAACAATGAAAAAATGTAATACAGTTTTGATGTACGTATTACACAAATTACACAATTACAGAATCGCATTATGAAATTAAATATTTATTTATAATTTTTAATCTGTCATTTTAGGTAAAAGAAATTCTTTTTTGCAAAAGTTTTTCTGAAACGGAAGTGGCATCATCAATGAGTCCCTCAATTTTTCCCTTCAGTTCATCTGCATTTATTGTTTTCTGTAGGTTTAAAAAATTCGAATATATGAGTATTCAATTTTTTGTTACTTTGTTTATAATAGTTCAGTCAAGTAGCCTTATTTGATTAATTGAATAATCAAAAAGGTTACTTGAACAATCAAACAAACGGAAGTGCGTGAAAGTTGTAGAAAAGAAGCACGAAAAGAAGACGGAAAAGCAAGCAGATAAAAATAAGGGGTAAAGGACTTCTTAAATCTACGGTAGGTTCATTTGATCTCCAAACGACTATTTATAAGCTTATATTTATTTTTGCCAATAATTAAAAACGGAATAAATATGTAAAAATTATAAATGACGAATAAAATTAGAACAGTAAGTAACCAGGTTGTTGATGGATCTCATCCTGTACTTAAGAAGACTTAGCGTGAGTGAGTTGGCCAGTCGCAAGCACAAGTCGGCATCGGCATTGGATTTGATCGTCATGCGTCCCTTAATATTGTGAATTCAATCAAAATATTTATGATAAATATATAAAAAAAAACTTAAGACCGCATATAACAAAAACTTAAGAGGTGCTTTATTAACCAGGAGATCTAGAAATAGTGATCTGTTGAAGTTCTTGAGGTGATAGTTGGGAGGCAGGTCATTGGACAGAATGAAGAGATGCTCAACATCTTTTGTCAGCTGGTCAACACTGTTGCAATGCTGCTCCTCGTATTTCTGCGAGTTGATAGGAGGCAATGGCTCATCATATCGACCGTTCAATTGGTGGCCCTTCAAATCTATGAAATTAAGCAAAAATCAATATTGGCTGATTTTTAAATACATTTAAATCTCATCTGCCAAGGCATGAACATATACTCTGCTGATTAATAAGCAAATAAACTAATGCCACACTATCAACTTATTTTCAGGTCCCTTATTAATTTGATAAAAGTTTGATCATGCTGATGACAACCATGCTTCCAGTCCAAAATTTATTTTATAGTTTTGATGAATGAAAATTTATGAACGAGGCTACACATGGAGTACTAGTTGAGTACGGTTATATTGAAAAACAAGTAGGTTAAATCACAAGGTAAAATGTATGCGTGAATTGTATAATATGATGCAAACAACGAAAATAAAACTGACTGTTGATGCATGAAGTGGAGTCATCATCGTGTCTATATTCTACCCAAACATTTCCTATGAAACAAAATGAGATAACATAAAAACAACGTTAGTTGAGAACTTTAACAACTACTGCCTCAATAGAGTATACAACAATAAAACAACATTATCATTTAATCAAGCTCTTCATTCCCTGGGCCTCACATCATCCAATCATTGGAACCAGAGTGTCGGCGGAGATATTTGTCAGAGTGGGAATTTTTTACGGAGACGGAGTAGGATATTTCTTATCCGAATTGGTATGAATTTGAAAAATTTTTATATTTTATTTCGCAAATATTTTTTACAGATCCTGCTTTTTAGAACACAAAATAAGTTGTATTAATATGACTTAGCATAATATTCCGCTTTTGCCTAGAGCATGCGAGTTAGTATAGCAGTTACCAAAAAAGCATTAAAATGTAATAAAAACATTCTGATTGAAAAAAACATTCACCAAGTTCTTCAATAATTTTTGTCCTTTTGTTTTTTTCATTCATGTCTTCTTCGAGTTTCTTGGCTCCATCCCGCATTATGTACATGTCCATCTTGTTGAGCTGCAGTGCATTGTACAGAGCTCTGCTGTGCTGGTACTGAAAGGTTGTCGTGCAAGTTGTGAATTATAAGTCCTAATATGATTTCACAGTGCAGCAATTTCATCTCACGAACGACGCATCAATATGCTCAACATTGATGCTTGGTAAGGAAATTATCAAATTCTGATGGCGTGAAACTACTCGAAGCCCCTTAGCACAGAGCTTCAATGCCCACATCTGCTGCTGAAAGATCAACTCATCACCTCTTACTGGGAAAATATATGATAATCATCACCAGGAATGTGCTATTGTTATTATCCCTCTTATCATCAACATCATCGTTATTATGGGTTTTTGGAGTTATTCATAAATATTTAAATTTAAAAAATAAAAAATTTATAACATAATTTTTATAAAATCAATGACAACGCTTAAATTTCTGACTTGATGACATTGAAGGATTGAAGGTTGAGACCAACCATGAAGTTGAGGATGTGGTTCGAGCTTGTGATGTGAAGTCGAGCCTCTTGTGCAGAGTGAGATGAACTGCCACACAGGTTGCACACGCAATCATATCTGCCATTTCTGTGCAAGAACTCAGTCAAGTAATTTAAACCTGTTCAATCATTGATCATTAGATGGTTTTCAAATTTAATTTTAAGTTTCAAACTCCTTTTAACCAAACGAAAGACAAAGTGTCTTTTGACTTATTATTATCGAACGTGAAGGCAACAGTATTCAATGAAAACATACAATAATCAAGAAACAACAATAGCAAAGAAATGTATAGATTTATAACAACATACAAATATATACGTACATAGAATACAACAAATAGATAGAAAGATACAACGATGACAGAAACTGAACAACTTGCCTAACAAAGGTTCATTTGATTCACGGGCGAGGATCTCCAGTTTCGTTAAATGTTTCACCGAATGATTGCTAGATCTGGATTCTGCTTGCCATTACATATCAAATTATATTACAATACATTTTATTTAATTAAACCAAATTATTACTAAATTAAACATTTAAACCCTTAAACTATAAGCTCTATTTAGCCAAAAGGCACGGAAAAAATATTAACAATCAAAACGTACTGAAAAAGAACGAATAAGAAGATATTCAAATTAATCCACAAAGATGTATAGGAGATTTATTTTACGGCATTTTTATGTAAAAATTTGAATAAAATTACCCATCCACTTTACACTAACCATTTGCAACTGAACATTGTCTTTTGCTCTGTGAATAAAAAAAAAATGATTATTGAAACCAAAAATAAATATTTCCATCACATTTAGTCCATTAAACAAAGCATGCTCCAAAAGCTGGCACAACTTGAATAATGTGATGTGTATGTACCCAGAGACCCCTGTTAAATTAAGGACTTACGGGCACTCCGCTCAGTATTCTAAAACTTGGGTTTGTAATAACCCACAACATGGCTTTAAAAGAACTGAAATTTAACCTTGAATGTACAAAATAGAAAGAACAAGGATAAAAAAGTGGTGAAGAATAAATAATCCCAAAGAAAAATGTTCTTCCTTATCACTTTCTTTTTTGTCCTCAGCTCATGTCCATGGGGCGTGCACAGAATGCCACAGATCAAGTATCAACGTCTGCATCTAATCGAGATAATCCGCCACCACGGTGTACCTCATTTTATTATTCGCGTCATTCCTGTTACTAAACTCAATGCACAGCAACTTCAGTGTTATTTGTTGGAAGCTGTTGAGTTCTTTGTGGAAAACAGTGGTTGTGTTATATCTATGTGTGCGACAATTGTACAACAACCGGTGAATCTTCCAAGCCATGTCACTAAAATATTCCTTGTATATGAATATGTGCAAGTATTAAAAAATATTCGAAATAACTGGATAACTCATTCCAGAATATCTTGTTCGACTTGTGATGGAAATGTATACGAATACTAAGACTCTTGTCAGCACAACAGTTGGAAACACAGATGCATTTGACATCGGCGTTGAAGTTCACTAAGGCTCGATTCTCAGTCCACTGTTATTTATAACTGTGATGGAAGAAATCACAAAACCGATACGCACTGGTGACATTTGGAACCTAATATATGCTGATGATATCGTTTTAACAGCAACGTCTGAGCAGAATGCAGCACAGATGTTTAAAGATTGGAACACCAGACTCGCCGATCATGGATTCAAAGTCAACATCAGCAAAATCAAAGCAATGAACACTGGTGAACCCATCCAATCCACAGTTACTGGACGATGGTCCTGTTCAGTTTGTAAAGCTGGTGTAGGTAACAATTCAATCAAGTGTCAGCAGTGTAACCAGTGGTGTCACAAACGTTGTTCAAAAATAATTGGTACTTTATCTAAAGTGTCCAATTTTGTTTGTCCTGCTTGCATCAATCCACAACAACAAATACGAAATAGCAATGTTTTTGAAGCCATTAAGGTAATCGTTTCAATATCTAGGGGATGTTCTGGATTGTACTGGAACAGCTGAAGCTGCCGTTCGAGCAGGCATACGTGCAGCCTGGAATAAATGGCATCTCCTTGCCTCTATATTGGTGCAGCGTGACATCCCACTACCACTACGATCAATACTTCATAAATCTGTGATACGTCCGGTGTTGTTATATGGTGCAGAAACATGGCCAATGACAACCAAACTGGAACAACAACTTCAACGAACCGACATGAAAATGCTCCGATGGATGCAACGAATTAGTCTGAAGGACCACATCAAATCTACCGAAAGCTTGCGTCGTGCTGGTTTAGATGATATAAAGGACGAATGCCGGCAACACCGTCTGCGGTTGTTTGGTCATGTCAAACGAAGTGGAAACAGTGCCATAACTTCTCTTGCAGATGTTGAAGTACCTGGCACACGTCCCAAAGGCCGTTCAAAGAAGTCCTGGTCGCAAACAATCGAGCAAGACATGAAAGCTCTAAATTTAAATGAAATGGATACAACTGATCGTCTAATTTGGCGCAAAAAGTTGATGGCAAAGAAAACAACGTCCTACCTCGGGGAACCGGGACTTCTGGACGCAAAACAAAGATTGATTGATTCGAAATAACTAGACCACTGAACCGCAACAAGAATTACTGAAGATTGTCAGAGATTCGTTGCACACTGCAGTGACAAGTGAAAGCATGTACAAAGACAGAGTGACGGCTCTACGTTTCACTAAACTTCCTTACCTATGAGTACATTCCAAATTACTGCAACGTCACAGTGCATCACGTAGTAGAAGGCGCAGTACAATTCATACATCCTGTTACCATGTAGTTAAACATAATGAATATCAAAGATCGATACAATGTTGTAAAACTTTGTGACGTCGCCTGAACAGTATTGCAGCTTCAGTGTGGCAATTTTCAGAAACTCTTAGGCATGTGTGATGATATTGCAAGCCGTCGTAACAGGCCTGGTGTACGACAATGCACCTCACAGATTTTATTGATAGCTAATGAAAATGAAGCAACTGAAGCAACATTGTCATCCGAGTTCTTAAAAGAACTAGACCACGGTGGTCTAACACAACCTACATTGTCAATGCTTTCTTTGTTCAACGCGCTGTCTTATTATGCAATTCCTAGTGTTCAAACGTAATTGCAAACATTTCCGTCATATGACAGTAGTTTTGCTATAAAAATTTTGCGGTTGATGTCCCTTCCAGTTGCTAGTAACAAAACAGCTTGTAAAACAGTTTCATTTCTTTCTAAAAATGTGATTAAATTATGTACTATAAATGCTTAATGTGATTTTAGTTTTTATAAAATACATTTTTTATTTTGTTATATCCAATTAATATTTTCAAACTAGAACTAAAAAGAAATGTGTGAACAAACTTATAAACGAAAGCAAAACTGAATTTAAAAAAAAGAACAAATCTTGATCTGACTTCTTTGTGCTTAGATCCCTGCATGTGGAGTTCATATGAGATTCTATCTTCAAAGTAACAGAAACATGCCTAATTCAAAATACAGATTGAATGTAAGTAGTACATTGATTGAATATTATCGAGCAGATACAAATATTTTCATGTGGAAACTGTTGATATATTAAAACTGAAGCAATTTAATGATATTTATAGGTAGAACTAACTGGACAATTGAACATGACACCACCTTCACACACAAGTGGTCGATCAACTACCCAGAAACCATCAATTAACAAATCTGCCTTCAAAAAAAAATTAATATTTCATCATAGACTTTTGTGTCTAAAGCACTGTAAAAACTCAACTGACATTTGAAATGTCTAATTCTTCAAACAATTTTTTTCTGTTTGGCAGCCCACTGTGCTGTTGAGAGATGCACTGCTTTCTATCCATACTGCTCACTAACATTTCTATTCTGAAATTTTGGAGTTAAAAATTTTTGGTCAACATGTTTTTTTTATGAAAATATTTTAGTAGACAACAAAAACTTTATTCAATAGTTATCAAATCAATATTACACATGTGCATTAATTCATGTGAACATGCATGCCTAAACACAAATGCACACACACACACACACACACACACACACACACACACACACACACACACACACACACACACACACACACACACACACACACATATATATATATATATATATATATATATATATATATATATATACACAAAACTTTCTTTGTTTGTGTTTTGTTCTGGTAAATAAAAAGTATTATAAAAACAACAACACACGTTTAGACGACATTTTCCCCGAGATCGGGGGTTGCCGTTTGGCTACCTATGATGAAACCGAAATACCCCTCGACGCCATCCACATCTGTCACTCGCCTCAGTATCACGCAACCCCACTTTCATCCTGTCCTTCTCCACCTGCTCTCCTGCAATCGCGGACGACCCCTTCCTACCACTCCTTCAACCTCGAACTCCAACGCTCGCCTAATCCCGACCCTTTCATCCCTTCTCAACACATGTCCATACCACCGCAATCTCGATCTCCTTATCAATGTCACAATGTCCTCATTCAGTCCCATCATTGACATCAGCTCTGTACTACTCCTCCTATCCTTCACTTTAACCCCACACATCATCCTCACCATAGCTCTTTCAGCCCTCTGCAGTACACTTTCCTCCTCTCTCCTCAACACCCAAGTTTCACCACCATATACCATCGCTGCTCTCACACATGCTTTATATACCCTCCCTTTCATCTTCACTGACCATTTCTTTCCACACAATACCCCACCCAGTTCCCTAAATTTCATCCATCCCACACGAACTCTAGCCGTAACTGCGCTCAAACATCCTCCATCCGCGTTCAGCTTATCCCCTAAGTAAACAAAGCTTTCCACTCTTTCAATACCACCACTCAACCCCGTCCTTGCGTCCGTCCTATTAATCACACCATGAACACATTTCTTACATTTGAACGTGCCTTCCACCTTTTTCAGTGCCCCCCTCACACCACTACATCTCTTATGCACCCATTTCTGACATCCTATGCACAATACCGAGTTAGCCTTCACTCTCCTGTCACATACCCCACAGGGGTCTATTTTACTTATCACTCGCTCCCCACCTTCCCCACTCACCATTACCTTCGTCTTACCAATATTAACTTTTAACCCTTTCTTTTCAATAACACTTTTCCATCTGTCAAATTTTAACTGCAATTCTTCCATGCTATCAACCATCAAGACAAAATCATCTGCATACAAAATCTCAAATAACAACCCCTCCATTATGTTTCCACATACAACATCCATCACAATTGCAAACAGAAACGGTGATAACACTGATCCTTGATGCACTCCTACCTTAACACTAAAAGCGTCCGACATCCCCCTTCCAACCCTCACCTTTGTCTTTGCCCCTTCATACAGCTGCATCACAGCTTTAACAAGTCTCTCATTTACTCCTTTCTTCCTCAACGCCCATTCAATGACCTTCCTTGGTACTCGATCTTAATAAAAAGTATTATATATATATTATTATTATTATTAATGAAACATTTATAAGCGCTAATTAAAATCAAAAAGTTCTCAAAAGCGCTATCTATAATCAAACAAAGTCAAAAAAGAAAAAAGTACAGTCAATGGCGGTAGTAACAAACAAATAATTATTCACTTAACAACAAAATCAAAGCGAAAATAAGTAAGTTTAAAGTTTCTTTTTAAAATCGTCAAGTTTCAAATCTTTAGTCTAAAAGATCTCGGTATGCTGTTCCAAACCATTGGTCCAGATACTGCAAATCTCTCGATGCTATCTGCAGATTGACATCAGGTACAACCAGCAAAATGCCATCATCTGATCTAAGGTTCATACCACTCATCATTATAGACTTTTATTTTATCTATCAAATGACTTGGTAGCAAGCCATGCACAGTTTTATACATTAAAATACATATTTTATATTTAATTCTTTTCTTTATAGTAAGCCAATGAAGGCTTTTAAGAATTGGAGTAACATGGTTAAATTTGAGACCTCCAACAATCAATTTGGCTGCTCTATTCTGAATAGATTGAATTGCAGAAATAAACCTATCTGGCAAACCGTAAAACAGACCATTGCAATAGTCCAATCGTGAATGAACTAATGCATGCACCAAGGTATGAATAGCAGATTTATCTAATGACTTACGGAGTTTATAGAGTTCTCGAATCTGTACGGAGCAAGAATTTGTTATCATCTTTATATGATCATGCATCGATAATCCAGAATCAAGAATGAAACCCAGATTAGTTGCTTTGTCACTAAATTCTATTTTAACATCTCCTATTTTTACTGAATCGATATTAAGTTTCATCAGCTGCTGCCATGTACCTATTGGAACAAATTTTGACTTCTGCTGATTTAATCTAAGACCATTGTTTGACATCCAATTATCTATGTTATTTAGGCAGGTTAAAAAGATATGATCTGAACCACTTGATAACAGTACCGAAAATACCATAATCATGAACCAATTTTTCCAAGAGAACCTGATGGTCTACACAATCAAATGCCGCACTCATATCTAAAAACGCGACTAGAGCCACATGTTGTTCGTCCAAAGCAGCAAACAACTCAGAAAACACATAAAGCAGAGCAGTTTCCGTTGAATGATAGCGGCGATATCCAGACTGGTGAACTGGTAGCAGGTTGTTTACATTCAAATGATTCAAGAGCTGTTTGGCAACCACTCGTTCAAATATCTTGGAAATGAAACAGATGTTAGAAATTGGTCTATAACTAGACAAATCATTTCGATCCATATTCACTTTTTTTAATACTGGATAAACCATAGCATGCTTACAACCATTAGGAAATGTGCCACTGCTCAAACTATATATATATATATATATATATATATATATATATATATTAAATGCATAAGTTTGCTTCTATTCTATTGCTCCTTTTCTAACCACAAAAAAGTTGCAAAAAAAATTGATTTAAAAAGCGTCTGGCAAGTCAGAACAAAAAAGTCTTCAGCCTTCTATGAAATCTGATGAGTTCAGGCTGCCCAAAATACAGAGCCATACCATCTTATGACATAGGCTATGATAGTAAACCCAGAAAGATAATCTAATTCCACTTGTTGTCTTGCATGCTTTTGAGCTTCTGGTTGTTTGGTTGCATCAGGTCAGGTTAGGAAGAGCATCTGGGTGGAAAACTCCGCTCCAGCAACATTCCATGTCATCACAAACCAGCATGCAATAAAATGTACAAATAATAAATCAAACACATGATATAAACACAACCTGAGTAGACAGCTTTGTAAACAGCTCCCGTGTCGTTATTGTTTACGTTGTAACCGGTTTATCGTTCGCTCTATTAAAAAGTTATATTTTTCAAACTATTTAGGGTAATACTTCGTCAAATATTAAAAAGAAATTAAATTTTATAAAATTTTGGATAATTTGCGTAAAAGCATGACTGAGAAAACTGTACTAATAGCAAATGAGTTATTGTATTATTTGTTTAGCAATGTGAAGTTTTTGGATAACCCAAACTTTGTGGCAGCTGCCTTCGAGTTTTACACTGCTGAGGAGATAAACGTTGCTAAAAACCAATTATTGGCAAATATGGAAAGTTTAAAGTCTGAAAACTTTAAATTTTCTCAACGTAGTAGCACGAGAAAAGAGAAAACGGCAGACAAATTAGCGGAATTGGTGGCATATGTTCGACAAATTGTGGCAGGCGATTTTACTGCAAAACTTCTCTGCTACGTAAGTTGTGACATGAATAGAGTTCCGAAGATCTCTCTAGTAAATGTTGAAGCTATATTTAAGAAAATGGCTGAAATTGAACAGCTGGTTTCTGATTTTACTTCGAAGTTTATTGAAAACTCAAACTACGTTCAATCAATTGCTAACAAACTGTATACAAATTCATTGGTCAGCCTATAACAGATCAGAGGCCCACTTTCAACAGCAACGTAAACAATAGTACAAGCGTGTTTAAGTATGATACCTTCAACTCAAGTAATATGTAGCCATTCCCTGTAGCCTCTGGAAATAAAAAGCGTCTACTTACAGAAGTTATCACCAGTAATACATCGCATTCAAATACAACTGTATTCAATAATAATAAAATGAATGATCGGGATAAATACCAAACTGGTTCTAAAATAATCGGACGTTCTAATAAAGAAAATATAAAAATAAGGGCTAATAAAGTTCTTGTAAATAAATCTTTCTTCTACGTTAGTAACCTTGATAACAGTTGTACTGCCGACGACATTATGGACCATTTACGTACAAATAACATCAACGTCATATCGTGTTTTGATATCAAGCGACCTGAAACTCAGCAAGAATCATCTGCGACTACAAAATCTTTTTATAAATCTTTCAGAGTGGGAATAGATAGCCGAGATACTCGCAAAATCATTGACCCTGACATCTGGCCATCGAAAGTTCTAGTCTGTGAGTGGTTCTTCAAAAAATCAACAAATGAAGGTATTCAGTTCACAAGCAATAAAAAAACACTCAATGAAAACCTTCAGACAACATTCGACAAAGATACGACACAAAATGGATGATTCCCAGAAATGTACCAGCAGCTCTACAGAATGGTTAACTAAAGACTTGCAAATTAATAATTATAATTATTATCAAACAGTTGAACATTTTTGCTTAGATTTTCTTGAAAATTTTAAAATAAAATCTAATTATTTATCACTACTACATATAAATGCACGTAGCTTAAACGGTAAAATGACTACATTAGATATTTTGATTAATCAGTTTAATTCATTTTTCAATGTGATAGTCATAACTGAAACATGGCTGAACGATATCACCGCGAGCCTCATAAGTCTAAATAATTACAATTTTTTCTATAAAAATAGACAAAATAAATTAGGAGGCGATATAGGAATTTTTGTAAGAAAAGAATTTGATTGTTTTATCGATGATAACATCGAGGCTGTAGATGACATATTTGAGGCATTTAGTATAAATATTAAGTCAAATTCCTCAAATAAATTGCCATTAAAAATCATTTCTATTTACCATCCACCTAACACAAGCATTGAAAAGTTTATCAATGAATTTGAAAATATTTTACACAAGCTCAGTCCTGCTCAAGAGGTGTACATATTGGGCGACTTTAATATAAATATTCTGGCCAAAAATAACCACACATTGAAATTTCAGAATCTTTTGCTCTCTCATTGTTTTTATCCTTTAATTGTGTCACCTACTCGTTCCACAACTTGTTCTTCTACATTAATAGATAACATATTTAGTAATTCTTTAAATATTTACGGCAGCGGAGTTATTCTTTCAGACTTCTCGGACCATAGTTTCATTTACGCTGTTACAACAAATTCCAACTTACATGTTCACGACAATGCACAAAAATATAAAAGAATCATGACAAATAATGCATTACAACAAATCAAATTCAAGCTCTCCAGTCAAGATTGGTTGTCTGTAACAGCTAACAATGATATAGATACGGCTGTGATAATTTTTATAAAATTGTAGATGTTATTATAAACAGATATGCCCCAGTTAAATCTGTAAAATTAAAAAAGAATGGGTTACACGAGAAATAATAAAATTATCAAACACGCAAAATAAACTACATAAAAATTATTTGTTAAATCCCACACAGGACAGTCTAAACAAATACAAACAGTTTAGAAATAATTTTACAGCTAATAAACGCAAAGTGTTCCAAGATTATCACCATTGTAAACTTATGACAGCTAAAATGATGCAAAACAAAAATGTAATGTTATAAATAATATATTAAATAAAAAAATATAACATCCTAATATAAATAGACTAAAAATAGGTAACAAATTAATAGAAGATAAAGAGGAAATATGTAAGCATTCAATAAATACTTTATAGATGTAACTGACAATTTACTTAAACCGCAACCTAATCCAACAACTAATAGTAATAGCCCACTATGTAATACTTTACCTAATTCTATATATATTCAACCTGCTGACTAAATAGAAATATTAAGTCACGAACATGAAAAATAAAAAAAGTACTTCAGATGATACATTAAGTAACTTTATTATAAAAAAAATTATGCATGAAATACTTGTTCCTTTGACTCATATTATTAACCTCTCATTATCGCAAGGCATATTTCCAGCTTGTTTTAAAATTTCTAAGGTTGTTCCAATTTTCAAAAAAGGTAACCCAGAGGATGCTTGCAATTATCGGCCAATTTCTCTTCTTTCACCTCTTTCGAAGATACTTGAAAGAATAATGCATACTCGTTTGAAATCGTTTGTGGCTGCAGATAACATAATGTGCAATTGTCAATATCGATATAGGCCCAAGCATTCGACCGAATTAGCTGTGTTTGAATTGATTCAGAAAGTCTTCAAGACTTTAAACGACAGAAATCTCACTTTAGGTATTTTCATAGATCTGTCAAAAGCGTTTGATGTCATAAACCACGAATTACTCTTGAAGAAATTATATATGAATGGAATAAGAGGTGTAGCCTACTCGTGATGTGAAAGCTATCTTAGGGATAGAAAGCAATATGTTGCATTAGAAGGATTTAAATCAGAATGTCTAAACATCAACAGTGGAGTTCCGCAGGGCTCTATTCTCGGACCTCTTTTGTCTTGTTCATTAATAACATTGTCAACGTGACTGATTCGGCAAATATTTTACTATATGCGGACGATACTAACATATTTTTTACTTCAAGGGATTTTAAACTGGAAAATGATCGCATAAACCAAGAATTGCAAAAATTCGTAGATTGGTTTATTCTCAAAATGTTCATATGTATTATTTGGCCCCAGAATAATTACTAACACAATAGGCAACCTTGATATAAGAATTAACAGTCTGGCATTACCTAGATCATATTATACAAAATTTTTAGGTGTGTTAATAAATGATGATCTTTCATGGGAACCACTATAAAATCAATTTCAACTAAGATCAATAAAATACTAGGTATATTATATAAAATCAAATCAAAAATAAACTATGACATGATTGAACTTTACTATACCCTGATATATCCACATTTAATTTATTGTAATCTTTTATGGGGCGGAAGTCCAGAAAGCCATTTAAATTATATTCAAAAATTTCAAAATCAGTTTATAAGACTGATATTTACTCTTCCACCGCGTACTCATATAACCAATGCTTACTATTCAACACTCAACAATTTACCCATTAAATAATTGCACATTTATTTCACATCAATTTTTGTATTTAAATTTTTACGTCAACAGTTGCCTAACTATTTTGCCAATTTTTTCACTTTTAGCAATGACACTCAAAGGAAATTTACTAGACACACTTCCCTTTTCTATTCTCATACTGTGAGATTAAAAGCTTTTCACTCAAGCATCAAATTTAATGGTCCGAGGGTATGGGATACTGTATTGCCACATGAAATTAAAACAATCAACTCATTATACTTATTTAAAAACAAGCTAAAAACTTTTTTAGTTAAAAAAACACTTATTTTAAATAGTTTTACACTATTTTACAACTTATTTAATTTTAATGTTCTTAGTAACCGAATTTTTCAGTCTCAGTTGTGACTATACTGTCACCTTTAGGTATATGAAACATGACAGTATTCATAGAATGATGTACGTGTGAGCATGTGTTTGTGTATATGTATTTATTTGACATTTCTGTTATATTTATAGTAAGAATTTGTGTGTATGTATTTATTTGACATTTCTGTTACATTTACAGTTGAAATTCTTAGTTAAGGGTGGCCTATCCACAAGTTTATCTTTATTGGTTATCCTTTAAATAAATAAATAAATAAAAAATAAATAAACTGCCAAACACAGAGTCTAGATAAAATATGCAAGTTGTAGAGGTTCTGGAACCAGCCAATATCTTCATCATTTATGTTTTTCTTTAAAAAACTCTAAAGAAATAGTTTTATTCAAAAATGTTGACAGTCAGAAACTACAGAAATTATTATATAGTGATGTGTGATATACCAGGAGACAGCATCGCTTGGGAAGCCAAAAAAATTGTCAGAAACCCCACTGAATATAAACAACACTCAACAGAAAGGCACTGAAAGAATAAATAATCACAAAAAAAGGAGAAGCTAACATACGGAGTCCAAGAGGCGGAAATAGAGATGTAATCATATAAACATAAATTTACAACTCCAGAGCATTTCAATTTGTTTAGATTTAATTTAAGTTCACCGATTTTATGTAAAATAACACATCAGTATTAGGTATTATAATATAATACCTAATACTGATATGTTATTGTTATTATTATTATATATAATCATATTATTATATATTATATTATTGGTATATTTTGTTTTTATGATTCTATGTTTAAATGTTGTTCTCCAATTATATGCAAGATAATAAAGTAATATTTAATTAATTAATTTAATTCACAAGTTTTTTTATATAATATACCCAACAAACAATATAAATTAGCCAAGTGAATTCAAAACAGAACACAGTATTATAATTAATATTGAATATTCAAATAATAATAAACAATATAAATTATATAGTATTAATATTTAATTTTATTATTTAATAATTATTATTATATTATTATTTTTAAATTTTCTAATCCTAATGCTCTCTCTTTTTTTTCAAATTTAGAATCAAATTTTTTTAAATTTCATGATTAATATAAATAATATAATATCATAAATATGAATTGAACGCTACAAAATTTTTATTTAATTTTTAAATTTAAATGGAATGTGAATGAATGTGAAGTGAATTGAATGAATTATTTGATTTGAAAATTTATAACGTAATTTGTTAATTTATAATTATAATAATTTATAATTATGAATGACATGCTAATGCACAAAAATTTTTTGAATATTTTTGCAGCTGTTGTTTACTGTGCAATTGCATCCTAATAAATATAATTTTATTTATATAAAAAAAATGCTACCTAGTAAACAATTCTTACTAAAGAATAGCAACCATAAGATATTTTATAATTTTTATTATATTTATTATTTAAAAAAGAACGATAATCGAGCAACAGAATAATCCAAATTTACATAGACAGCAAAACCATATAACATAGACATTTGACTATACGGCATTTTTGCATTTTATCGTTTATCAATCAATGATCCACCTTTGTCCATCAAGGGACCGTCGAGGCCATTGGTGATGCTTTTTACATTTCTTTTCTTTTCTTCTTTCCAAAAACCTTTTCTATCTTTGGTCAGTTTTATTTTATTCAGAATACCAAGACCAGTTCATTCAGTAATGTCATCTATCCATTTCTTTGCAGGTCTACCAACTTTTTTCTTCCAATCTCTTTTCTGCATCACCATCTTACTCAATCTGTCTTTCCTCATTTTACAAATGTGTCCAAAAAATCCCAATTTTCTTTCTCTGACTTTGTCATATACACTTTTCTGTCTTCCAAGTTGATTTCTGATGGTTTCGTTCTTTGCTTTCTGCCTCCAACTGATTCCCAACAAATTTCGGTAACACATCTCAAATGCTTCCAATCTGTCTTTGTCTCTTTTCTTTATTGTCCATGTCTCACATGCATAAAGCAAGCTCGGAAAAAAGCAAAATTCTATCATTCTCAACTTTGTTTTTATAGATATATTTCCCCTTTTCCACATTTCCTTCAATGATGCGAACATTCCCCAGATAGCACGATAATACGGGTCGGTGCCGGGCGAACGTCGAAAATTACGGCTATGTCCGGCATAATATGGCTGCGCATTATACATGTACGCTCCGACAGCGGTTCGTAGCACAATGGCCGGCACAATAATCCCGACAGTCAGCCGTAATGTTTTTATTTAACAATAATAATCAACATAATTAAAATAAAAAACTCATATCTTTATGTTTTTACTCATATCTGGATGTATTTAACACAAAAAATAAAGAAAATATTGTTTTTAAAATAATTACAGCGTTCATTCATTTTGCCGTAATTTTCCCGTAAAATGGTTTAACGCGTTAAACACTATGTTTATAATCGTATATATGTATATATATATATATATATATATGTATATATATATATATATATATATAATCAGTAAGTTTAATGTTAGTATATTTCGGCAGGAGGTATATATATATATATAACCCCTCATATATATATATATATATATATATATATATATATATATATATATATATATATATATATATATATATATATATATATATATTTATATGAGATTGAAATATTTTCATTTGATTATTATCAAAATATTATTATAACCAATTAATTAAAGTCAGAACAGCATTTATTATCCAACATTTAATATCTAGTTTCATTTTCGCCTTTGAATTTCATGAGAAGCGCTAAATAAATTTACTTTTAGTGGCGCGATATTATAAAGATTCCATCTTTCTTCCCATTGTTAATTGCGATTGTATGTTGTTTTCCTAAACTGCATTTAAATGGATCCATGGGCTATTGCTATCCTTCTGTCAATTTCTTTTGTGCAGTTGTTGTCACAGGTTATAAGACTACCGAGATATATAAACTGTTCTACTTGTTCGAGTTTTTCTGATTCTATCTGAAATTTCGCATTGTTTCTGCCTTTCCCCGTAATCATCCCCTTCGTTTTGTTTTGTTGAGATGCAACTCGTGATCTTTTTCACCAACATGTGTTAGTTCAATTAGCTTCTGTAGACCTTTTTCACTGGGAGCTAGATAATCTATATCGTCTGCAAACCTGAAATCTTTGACAGTTCTCCTTATGTCAATTCCACCCAATTCCGAATTTTCCATTTTTTCCATTGCTCTTTCTAACAATGCTATGAATAGCATTGATGTATTGGATCGCCCTGTCTGCCTTTATCCAATCCCCAATCCTTTATCCAATTTATAGTATATACATATTCATTAAATAACTAAAATATTTAATTTATTGTAATGTTTGGCAGCATATAATTAGAATGATTGTTTAATTGGCAGTCTGTTTTTTAGGCAGTACTTTTATACTTAGATTCACTTTTAATGATATTTTGTTAAAGAATTCGCTTTTAGTTTTGGTTTTTAAGATTTTTTGTTTAACTTTGGTGTCGCCCTGCCTCAGTCTGCTTATTTAATTACATATTATATTATAATTATATTATATCATATAATTACATCACAGCTCGAACCATGACTGGCCCTAATGATGTGAGTGTGGACTTGAAAACTCAGAAATATGATAGACAGTTGAGGTATAAAAATTCGTAAAATGATAAAAGTATTAGCATATTAATTAAATTAAATTTAAGTTTCAAACAGTAGTAATAATTAAATAATAATTATATATAATAATATAAAATAAAGATAACCATGATAATAGTAGTAGCAATAATGCTGTTCTGAATTGAGATATGATATAGTTATAGTTCATCCATATTAGTAATTTAACTAATAGTAATTATATAGCTATATAAAGTAAGTAATACCAGTTTACTACTAATAATCACTTATACAATGGCAAGTCATATCTTACTTTGGCTTATGTGTTAGCTATTAATGGCATCTACATAACCAACCAACCAACCTACCAACCAACCTACCAACACTAAATGTCTGCACATGGGTTACATGATGTTTATATGTTTTTTTAATATATGGATTGTTTGAATTGATTTGGCAGATTGTGGGGTGATCATGGTCAAATTTCTCTAGAGGCAGCAAAGATTTGTTTGATAAATGCCAATGCTACTGGTACTGAAATTTTGAAAAATATGGTTTTGCCAGGTATGTCAGAGTTTTTTTTTCATATATTTTTTGTACCTGTTTATATTTGGTATTGTGGTGAACCTTCTTCCACCTCAATTTTTTGTTGAACTTTTTATGTTACATTTTTATAAACTTGTTAGACTCTCATTTTTTAGATTTTAGTGTGAGTGTAAGGAATTGTTTAAATTTATCTCAGCATTTTGTTCAAAACAAATGTTCAAATCATATGAAAAATAAAATGTAAGGAGCTTATCTCTGTATTCTTTACCAATTCTTTCTACTATTTTGTATAAACTAATCTATAGAAATTTACTAAATTGAATTAGTAGAAGGTGAATTTAATTGAAAAAAATTTTCCATTTAAATTTTCAACTGTTTTTTATAGTAGTTTAAGTTGTTGTTATATAAGTAACTTTAAGGTTATATAAGTAACTTTAAAGTTATATAAGATTTTTCTTGCATGAATTAAATGAGCACCTGGTAATATAATTGTACAGCCTGTTTGCATGGTAGTTTTTTTTTATATAATTTTTTCTAGAGATTACAAAAACTATCATATTTAATTTGATGTAAATTTGAACTTTACATCTGCATTTACTTTCAATGAAATTTATATTTCAAGTTTTGACTGAATTTTTTTTGAAAATGTTAGTGATTGCCTTTAAAAAACATGTAGGCATTGGTTCATTTACAATTGTAGACAGTTCTCAAGTAACCCCTGAAGACCTGGGTGTTAAGTAAGTTTAACTTTTTATGATGATACACTGTTTCCTGTCATTTTATGGTGAATAATTTTGTAATTTCTGTAATTTTCATCAGCTTCTTCCTAACTAAAGATTGCATAGGAAAGGTTAGCACTGTTTTTTCTATAATTTTGTTCGTACAATCTTTTTGTTTGCATTGGTTCATGATTATATTGAATTTGCTAAAAAAAACTAATGAATATATTGTGAGGTATTGATATTTGCTTACAATGTTTACAAAAATTGTCTCAGGTTTTTTATAAAATTTTAATCTCTTGCTTTTTTGTAACTCATCTTTAGGCTGTCAAGTTTTTTAATTTGCTTTTGAGAGTAATTTTTACTTTTATAATAAAATTCTTGGAAGACTTAACGCATAAGTATTTAATAATATCTCAGATGTCTCAGATTTTTAAATGGTTCTTCCTAAATGTTATCTGTTATATACTTGACAATTTTTTATTTATCAATCATGATTATCAAACTTTCTCTCTACCACCATTTTGAAAGATTGAATTAATTGATTTGATTGTATGTAACCTCATTACAATGGGACAGTCTCGAGCTGAATCAGCCACGTGTTACTTGAAGGAGCTGAATTCTGATGTGGTCGGGATAGCTATCAATGAGGTCTTGTTGGGTTTCATCATATTTTTAATAATATTGGTGTTCAGATTTGATCATGCATTGACATAGTTGGTAATTCAATTCAATAATTCACTCTATAACACTATAACAGAAGATTGTGTTATAAAATTTAAAACATTGAACATGTCAGATTAAGATCAATTATAAGGTTTTCGTTTTCAGTGTTATGTTTAAAATGTAATAAATAAATAAATATAAATTAATGTTGATAAATTAAGTATATTAAAATTAGAATGGATTGCAATTTCAGACAAAGTATCAGAATCTGAAATTTTTGTCTGAGTCAGAATTTTTTGAGGGGCCGAGTCGGTGTTGGATATTTTTATTTGACTCTGGAAAGTATTGAGAGTTTGAATTTTTTTTAATTATAAAAATAATTTTAAGCTCGCGAGTTTTAGAAAATATATGTACGTAGCGTTACACTGTGTTCTGTGTATATTTCTCTTCTTGGTTTTTGTTGTCTTTTGTCATGATTTCTGTTTCATTTTGGGTATCAATTTCCTTTACACACATCATATATTTCGATGCACAATATTAGTTAAGGTGGCTTGCACATACATCTGTATCTTAGTCTCCTGTGCTTCTGCTAAATAAAAGTCAATTCAATTCAAAAATTCATCTTGAATTGCGAAAATAGATGCCATCAAATGCGCTGTGTAGTCATTTTCATTTTTAAAAAGTGACTTATTTTTTAGTATGCGCAGTGTAGTTTTAGCTGTCTTGTAAGTTTAGTGAGAAAATCATTTATACATGAAATTTTTCTAAATTAGCACCCTAAACACAATGGAATGATTGTTAGATTGAATTTTTCAAAAATTTTAATTTTGTGATAACATTTCGTTGGGTTGTTCGGAAAGTAATTTCGTTTTTTTTTGGGTGAAAATGAAAGACGATCTTCGTATAATGAATAAATATTTAATTAAATTATATATTGGCCATTCTGTTCCAACACCTTTTGCCATCTTTCTGGTAGTAGCATGATTCTACGCTCATAAAATTTTTCGTCTTTGCTGGCAAAAAACTGATCTAGATGATTTTTGGCGTGTTCATTTGAGGTAAAGGTTTTACCATCCCAAACTTTTACAGTGACTGGAACAAATAATAATCTGAAGGGGTTTTGTCTGGAGAATATAGTGAGTGTAGCAGTACATCCCATCCAAGCTGTATAAGCTTTTGGCGAGTGACCAAACTTGTATGAGATCTTGGTGGAACACTACATTTTTTCTGTTGTTTAATTCTGGCCTTTTCTGTTGAAGGGCATCATTCAGCTTGTCCAGCTGATGACAATAGACATACGAATTAATTGTTGTGTTATCCGGTAAAAGCTCAAAAAAGTGGCTCCTTTAAAATAGAACCAAACAGACAGTATCACCTACCTTTTACTTATGGATATCGGCTTTTGAAATGTATTGAGCCGGCTTATTTTTTTGCTCCATGATCTCCTGCGTTTAACATTGTTATATACGACCTATTCTTCGTCCACAGTAAGGATGCGCTTTAAAAATGGATCATTTTTGTGATGTTTGAAAGAGTGAAGCACAGACGTCAAGTGACGACACAAATTTCTCTCCGTGAGAACATGGAAAACCCATATATTGAGTTTCGAGGTTAAACCCAGGCTATTCAGGTGGTCATAAACAGTTAAATTCGATAAATTTAACCTCTCACAGATCTCACGTGCTGTTATTCACCGGTTTGCATCAACTAATGCCTTTATCGCGTCTTTATCAGCTTCAAACTACTTTGACATCAAAATTCCCGGATCGAAATTTTTGCAAACAAGTTCTGGCACTAGCGTATGATCAACACTTTTTCTCCATACACGTCGGTTAGTTTCTTTCTGGCTTGAACAACATTTTTACCTTTTTTATAGTAAAAAAAAGTAAAATGTGACGAAAATGCTGCTTATTGCTCTCTATATTTCGAAGGGCACCGATCAAAAACTACTGCGTAAAATCAATAGAACAATAGAACGTAAAATCACACGCAAGCCTTGCTATATCACATAACGACTATGCGATTTAAGTGTGAAAAAATACAATTAAATCCCCTGTCCGAAAAAAACGAAATTACTTTCTGAACAATATATCAAACAGCTGTTCCTTTTGGCTCAAATTTGTGCTTGAAACAATTTTTGAGGATTGGTTTGGATTTTGAATGGTATCATTCTTTTTAAACATTAGTGGATGAGTCACTCAGTCGGTACTATTGTAAATGCTGTGGCTAGTCTACAAAATGGTTTTAAGTTCAGATCTGCTGGGTTACAAAGAGGGAACTTGTTGAAGATAAAACAAACAATTTTGAGGAAATATATTGATAAATTTTGATCATTTTAAAAGTAAAATGCTTACATTTACAAAAAATAGGAATATTTAAATTTTTTAATATTTAATTTTTATAATATATAATATTTAATTGCTGTAATCTATTGCTACTTATTCAGTCACTAGATGCGCTCATCGACAACTCACCTGACTTCTTCAGTCACTTCCATCTGGTCATTGCATCAGCAGTTCATGACAGGTACACACATTTTAGTCTTTTCTTCTTTCAAATATTCTGATCTTTCATATCATTTTGTTGTTGGAATATTCTTTTTGCTCATCCAATCAAATGATGGCGGAGTTGATTAGAAAGCCAGTTAGAAAGATCAAAAAGAATAATATAATATTTGGTCACAGATTTCTGTTTACCCAAAATTAATGAATATGAAAATATGTTTTGTAATTTTCTGATGTTCAACTGATCGACTTAGTTTTAACGTCGGCGAATAAACCCACTAAGTAAATAATGAAATATGAGTACATATTTACTTTAATTAGTTGGAAAGAAAGTACTGTTGCCCATGTAATAGTGCCACGTGACAGTTAATCAATAGTTTATATATATATATATATATATATATATATATATATATATATATATATATATATATATTATTGATGAAAATCACAGCAGTTCAGCTAAATCATGTTGTGTCTGGTTCACCATTAGCTTTGAGTTCCTGTGTAAGGAAGCATATCTTGGCGGAACCCATGACTTTCGAATTGTTGCAGCAATTCCTACATTAACCTTGCGTCTGGATCTGTCCGCTGTAGCATATAATGCAGCAACCTTGCTTAAATCACCTCCTGAGACTTCAATAATGGCCTTATTGAGTGATGATTGCTGTGCTTGAGAAATTTTAATTCTTGTAGACAAAGACACACTTTTTGGAGATTTAAGAATGTCAAAAGGTACAAAGGTATTCGCACTTCTACCTTCACTTCCAGCTCTGATGATGACATACACTGTCGAAACGACGTCGTCAGCCGTTCGAAATGCTTGACGAGTTTAATAAAATTGAGTTACAACAATTTCGTCTTATTGAACATACCCAAAAGAAATTAATTAATACAAAATGGGCAAGAACATTCAACCAAATTTGCTATAACACAAACCTCGTGCCAAACTATATATATATATATATATATATATAGTTATATATATAATCTAAACCCAATGTATATATATATATATATATATATGTTGCTCTCGTTTTTGTTCATATATATTTATATATATCTGTATTAAAATTAAATATATATGCTCGTGTGGGTGTGTGAGACCCCAAAAAGCAATATAATTCCAATGCGGCCCAAAGTGGGAAAGGTTTGCCTATCTCTGATTTAATAAATGTGGCATGTTAGGACACTGTTGAAGCTGGCTAGTATCTTATGGGATTGTGACATTCCTCTGTTGGTCTGCAGAAGTTATGGTTTCATGGGCTATCTGAGACTTGTGGTCAAAGAACATACAAGTTTGTTTGTTTGTTTAGTGCTCCTTCATTTCAATTACTGCTTATTTTAAAAATTTACATTTTTCATATATTAATAATTACTTTTTTAGCTATTCTGGTTACTTTTTTGGTAATCATTATATCACCGTATCTGGGTTTTTTGAACACGCACTACAAATTTTAATTGGAAATGATTGTTTAAACTTTTCGACTATAAATTTTTCAGAGCTTCATTCAATTAATTTTTTCTTAAGTTTAAGTATAAAATCAGAAAAAAATGAAATTATTGCCTTTTAAATTTTCATTGGTTCAATATGGATATACATATTTGAAAACGTGGTGGCGACAATTGTTTGACAAATATTTTGTTAAAAATTTGTTTAAAACTGTTGAACAACATGGCATGATCTGAAACGACATGACATGACTTCAAACAACATGGCATGACATGAAACTGAACGACACGACAATGCAGTCATCGAGTCTCATCCGGAAGGAGTGATTGAAGATTTGAGGTTGCAGAATCCTTTTGATGGTCTCATCACATTTTGTCGGTCAGTTCATCTCGATGCTCTCTCTCTCAAGGTTTGTTTGTTTGTATGATTGTTTGTATGTATGTATATATGTTTGTTTACCACATCGATGTGGTAAGCATGGTGGTGGTGTCCGTTTTTATTTGGTAAATAGTTGTTTATTTAAAATTCGAAATGATCTGAATCTTATTGGTTGCAAAGACTTTGAAACATTCTCCGTCTCAAGATCCAAAATTTTATATCAATCAATTAGAACAGTTGTTACACGCTGCGAACAATGAAAATAAATTTATCTGTTTATTGGGGGATTTCAACTTCAACTTATTTTCCGTAGATGAAGACAACAGCACAACTAATTTTTTACATCTCACATCATGCTACAATTTATCACCGATTATTACAATTTCAACAAGAACCAGCATTAGAAAACAATCAGTGATAGACAACATTTTTGTGAACTGTTTAAAACCTTCAAGACTGAATGGCGTTGTGATGTGCGATCTATCAGATCACTTTCCGATTTTTGCTTCAATTGGTGATGGAAATAGAAGCATTGATGTGAAAGATTCAACACAAATGAAATTCTCTTTTTCAACACATCGTCTGCGGAGATTGAATAAACGTTTGCAATTTTCGGACTGGAGTGAAGTTTTTGATTGCATCGATGTTGATATGGGGTTTGAATTGTTCATCAACTGATAAAATCAAATAGAAAGAAAAACAAACTCTCAAAACAAAAGCTGTGGTTCACTGCAGAATTTAAAAAATTATTAAAAAAGAAAAAATGTCTATTTAAAATATATCTGAAAAATCCGTCTGAAGATCGACTTTTAAAATTCAAGACTTGTAGTAAACTGTGTACCAACTTAAAGAACAAATTAAAACGTAGATACATCAACCAAATCGAGCAAAATATAAATAACAGCAAAAAAACTTGGTCAATAATTAAGGAAGTATCGAATAGATCCAGTAGCCATAAAACGAATTTGCAAGTAACTTCAAATGAACAAATAATTGAAAATCTAGAAAATTTTTTGAATGATTATTTTATCAACATAGCACCAAATCTGCTTAAATCATTTCAAACAATCAATAATCAATGGAAAAAGTTTCTTGGCAACAAAATACCAAACTCGTTTTTTTGCCTCCACGCATCTGAAGAAGAAATTATTTTCGCAACAAAACTGCTGGCTCCA